TGGCCTCCGGATCCTCCGGCCATCTTGGTCTTGGAGCGTGTGCCGCTCGCCAGGTCTTGGTTCGGCGAATTTCAAGGAAGTGAAGTTGCGAAGAATCCCTGTGTAGCTCTCATACTATGTTACAATCCCAAGTGGGACTTAGCGAAGGATCGCTCAGGGTTGATTTTCAGGGTAGTGTTGCAGCTAAAGATTGAATCTCAGGTCAGAGTGAATGTAAATGACTGAGTTGTGTCAGTAGAGCTGCACTGTGAGATCCCCGATCGATCCTAGGGGGGGTTACAGGCGCGTTTGCCTGGGGGGTTATGGGCGCACTGACCCGCTACTGAAACAAGCCCTTTTATCCCAGTGGTCTAGTGGTTGGGATTCTGACATGGTATCAGAGAGGTCTCGGGTTCGAATCCCGGTGTATGCACATGTAGGCCGTTGCCACTGTGCTCAGTCCTGGGCCTCCCAGTGTGGGGGGGTGTCAGTAGAGCTGCACTGTGAGATCCCCGATCGATCCTAGGGGGGGTTACAGGCGCGTTTGCCTGGGGGGTTATGGGCGCACTGACCCGCTACTGAAACAAGCCCTTTTATCCCAGTGGTCTAGTGGTTGGGATTCTGACAAGTTGATTATAGCGTGCATTCATCGGGTTTATATAAGAATACAAGGGAATACGAAAAGACCTAGGCTAGCCATGTACTCTAAGGGGTACATTCCCTTATTACAACAAATTCAAACCGTGCGGCGCGGGAACCCATTTCAAACCTCTTCCCGCTCTTTTCACTTCGAATGTTTCTGCCTGCATCGGTCTTGATCAGACAGTTACGAGTGTCGCTCTGACTCTTCTGACTCCTCGACTTCTTACACTTTAGAGTCGGTCCCTGTAGCATACAAAAATGCCTTCTTGCAAAGTTTCATATCGTAACACATTATAAGCCCACCCACCATTTTTTTCAGGTTTTTTTATGTGGGTGATGATGGTACTTGTTGTACCCTACCCCTTACTAGTCTCGCCACTTCCACTACTTACTACTCAAAGAAGAGCCTACGGTAATAGAAATGTAGAAAGGAAGGTAAATTGAGATAACAGTAGAAGGATGAGGTAGGTTAGTCTGGTTGAGAGATTTGGGGGAAGGTTGCTTGAATCTAGTTATACTAGTAGTTTGTCGAGCTAAATTTCATATGTAAATTAGTAAAATTTAATGGAACTGTCTTGTATCCAGCAGTTCCTTCACCTCCACATAATTGAAACGAAATGCATGCACAACGAGTTTTCGCGCGCGTCTCCGACACTTTCCACTTCCGTAAAAGTCCGACCAATCTCAGCGCTTGGCGCCTCCCGATGACGCATTGATTGGTTTTTGGTGGATCTCCCTCAGCATTCGGCAGATCTGTCCTGTCAGAGTCGACTTGGCTTGGCTCAATCAAGCGCAGAGGCTGGTTCACTTTCCCCAGGGATCTGATCTGATCTGACAAGGGGTTGCCGCTGTACCAGTAGGCCGTTCGGGGAAACCCGCCAGAAAGCCTTTCGCTGCGCCAGTAGGAGTTGGGTGTGGTGCATTGAAGCTGAAGGTGCTATAGTGGCTTTACACAATAATCTGTGTTGCATTGCATCATAGTACGTTTCAGTGCGGTAAACGGGTGTCGAAACTTGAACGCATTCTAGGGATTTGGGATCGGCCGTTATATGCATCACGCGCTTGTGAGAGCTATATTTCTGGCGGGAGAAAGGCCGCATACGACGTGAGTTGATTCGATGAATGATGAGGTGATGTGAGCGCGCATGAGCTTATCGTAGCTCGTGACAGGAGGCTTCAGAACGAATCGCACGTAGCGGCCGTGGGCACCGGCGGGATTGTTTCCGACGTGTCGTTCTTGAATGCGCCAAACCGTACGCGAGCGTTGCCGACGTGTTGTCGTCATGGCAGCCTCGGCGTTAAGCAGTTTGGACCGACAGCGAAGCTTCCTGCCCATTTTACGAGCCTTCAAACTTCCGCGCTACCTCTCGTACGCGTTACAAGTCAGCCTTCTGGCCGTGTTCCTCATTATAACCAGCGTGCGGTCGTGGAGCCTACTGGTCCCGCCCAGCATCGTGACGCCGCTCGCTTTGCGGGGCGACGCGACGGATGGCGCTCCGCACGCCGTGGCTGGGCTGGAAAACCTCGGGATAGACGCGCGAGGCGTCGATCAGTACGTTGTCGTCCTTCCGGATATAACGCGCATAGCGGAGGCGGCGGAAAACGCGAGGCTATGGCAATCCGTAGCGGTCGGAGCGGCGGCGCACGAGGGGAATGTGGCGCGTGAAAGGCGAGCGGAGAAAAGGGGGGACGCGGTGCAAGAAGGAGGAGCGGACTTTGCGCAGGATCCGGCGCGCGGGAGGGAGTTCGTGCGCGCGCCGGATGCGGCGGCTTCGCGCACGCGGGGCGCAGAGGCGAGCGCCGAGAGTGGGAGCGGGGGCGAGGGGAAGGGAGGGCAGGGAAGCGCGAGCGGGTGGGAAGGAGAGAGGAGGACGGCGGAAAGGGAAAGGTTGGCAGCGAAATCGCACATCGACGTTCTGTCGCATGGAGGCCAGGAGGTGTCGCAGGGAGGCGAGGGGTCGGATGGAGGCAAGGAGGGGTCTCAGGAAAGCGAGGAGGGGATGCAGGGAGGAAATCGGGGGTCGCAGGGAGGCAGGGAGGGGTCGCAGGGAGGGGAAACGGTGCGGATAAGCAGGCCCAGCGAGGGTTCCGTGAGAATTTATGAGGTGCGTGGTGTGCGAATGTATGAGGTGGTGTGCGAATGTGTGATGTGGTGTGCGAATGTGTGAGGTGGTGTGCGAATGTATGAGGTGGTGTGCGAATGTATGAGGTGGTGTGCGAATATGTGATGTGGTGTGCGAATGTGTGAGGTGGTGTGCGAATGTATGAGGCGGTGTGCGAATGTATGAGGTGGTGTGCGAATGTGTGAGGTGGTGTGCGAATGTATGAGGCGGTGTGCGAATGTATGAGGTGGTGTGCGAATGTGTGAGGTGGTGTGCGAATGTATGAGGTGGTGTGCGAATGCATGAGGTGGTGTGCGAATGTATGAGGTGGTGTGCGAATGTGTGATGTGGTGTGCAAATGTGTGAGGTGGTGTGCGAATGTATGAGGTGGTGTGCGAATGTATGAGGTGGTGTGCGAATGTGTGAGGTGGTGTGCGAATGTATGAGGTGGTGTGCGAATGTATGAGGTGGTGTGCGAATGTATGAGGTGGTGTGCGAATGTATGAGGTGGTGTGCGAATGTGTGATGTGGTGTGCGAATGTATGAGGTGGTGTGCGAATGTATGAGGTGGTGGGCGAATGTATGAGGTGGTGTGCGAATGTATGAGGTGGTGTGCGAATGTGTGATGTGGTGTGCAAATGTGTGAGGTGGTGTGCGAATGTATGAGGTGGTGGGCGAATGTGTGATGTGGTGTGCGAATGTGTGAGGTGGTGTGCGAATGTATGAGGTGGTGTGCGAATGTGTGATGTGGTGTGCGAATGTGTGAGGTGGTGTGCGAATGTATGAGGTGGTGTGCGAATGTATGAGGTGGTGTGCGAATGTGTGAGGTGGTGTGCGAATGTATGAGGTGGTGTGCGAATGTATGAGGTGGTGTGCGAATGTTTGAGGTGGTGTGCGAATGTATGAGGTGGTGTGCGAATGTATGAGGTGGTGTGCGAATATATGAGGTGGTGTGCGAATGTATGAGGTGGTGTGCGAATGTGTGAGGTGGTGTGCGAATGTATGAGGTGGTGTGCGAATGTGTGATGTGGTGTGCGAATGTGTGAGGTGGTGTGCGAATGTATGAGGTGGTGTGCGAATGTATGAGGTGGTGTGCGAATGTGTGAGGTGGTGTGCGAATGTGTGAGGTGGTGTGCGAATGTATGAGGTGGTGCGCGAATGTATGAGGTGGTGTGCGAATGTGTGAGGTGGTGTGCGAATGTATGAGGTGGTGTGCGAATGTATGAGGTGGTGTGCGAATGTGTGAGGTGGTGTGCGAATGTAAGAGGTGGTGTGCGAATGTATGAGGTGGTGTGCGAATGTGTGATGTGGCGAATGTGTGATGTGGTGTGCGAATGTGTGAGGTGGTGTGCGAATGTATGAGGTGGTGTGCGAATGTATGAGGTGGTGTGCGAATGTGTGAGGTGGTGTGCGAATGTATGAGGTGGTGTGCGAATGTATGAGGTGGTGTGCGAATGTTTGAGGTGGTGTGCGAATGTATGAGGTGGTGTGCGAATGTATGAGGTGGTGTGCGAATATATGAGGTGGTGTGCGAATGTATGAGGTGGTGCGAATGTGTGAGGTGGTGTGCGAATGTATGAGGTGGTGTGCGAATGTGTGATGTGGTGTGCGAATGTGTGAGGTGGTGTGCGAATGTATGAGGTGGTGTGCGAATGTATGAGGTGGTGTGCGAATGTGTGAGGTGGTGTGCGAATGTGTGAGGTGGTGTGCGAATGTATGAGGTGGTGCGCGAATGTATGAGGTGGTGTGCGAATGTGTGAGGTGGTGTGCGAATGTATGAGGTGGTGTGCGAATGTATGAGGTGGTGTGCGAATGTGTGAGGTGGTGTGCGAATGTAAGAGGTGGTGTGCGAATGTATGAGGTGGTGTGCGAATGTGTGATGTGGTGTGCGAATGTGTGAGGTGGTGTGCGAATGTATGAGGTGGTGTGCGAATGTGTGAGGTGGTGTGCGAATGTGTGAGGTGGTGTGCGAATGTATGAGGTGGTGTGCGAATGTGTGATGTGGTGTGCGAATGTGTGAGGTGGTGTGCGAATGTATGAGGTGGTGTGCGAATGTATGAGGTGGTGTGCGAATGTGTGAGGTGGTGTGCGAATGTGTGATGTGGTGTGCGAATGTATGAGGTGGTGTGCGAATGTATGAGGTGGTGTGCGAATGTGTGAGGTGGTGTGCGAATGTGTGAGGTGGTGTGCGAATGTGTGAGGTGGTGTGCGAATGTATGAGGTGAACACATGAGAGAGCACATGGGGTGCGTGCATGTGAATGTATACTGCACCTCTCTAACTCCCTCTTCCCAACTGAATTTCGCCGCAACCCCCTCTCTTGACGTCCTTCCCCACGCCTTGTCTCCTCCCCCTTTGCCCCCCCCATGCGCCACAGGCGTGGGCGGCCGCATATGGGCTCACCACGGACTCCCCCCACCCGCCCCCCGCGGTGCACCTCTCCGCCGCCCTGCCCCCCGCGCCCCACCTGCACGACTGTGCTGCGCGCTCTGCCTTCCGCCGCGCCCGGAGCAGCGCGGGCGCAAGGGGCAGGCGCCACGATGGGCGGACGCGATGGCGCAGCAGTGTGAGGGAATCCCGCAACCGCCCTGGGTGAGATGTGCACGCCGCTGCATGCATGCACCACTGCACCCATGCATGCACCACCGCACCCATGCATGCACCACCGCACCCATGCATGCACCAGCACCCATGCATGCACCACCGCACCCATGCATGCACCAGCACCCATGCATGCACCAGCACCCATGCATGCACCAGCACCCATGCATGCACCAGCACCCATGCATGCACCAGCACCCATGCATGCACCAGCACCCATGCATGCACCAGCACCCATGCATGCACCAGCACCTATGCATGCACCAGCACCCATGCATGCACCACCGCACCCATGCATGCACCAGCACCCATGCATGCACCACCGCACCCATGCATGCACCAGCACCCATGCATGCACCAGCACCCATGCATGCACCAGCACCCATGCATGCACCAGCACCCATGCATGCACCAGCACCTATGCATGCACCAGCACCCATGCATGCACCAGCACCCATGCATGCACCAGCACCCATGCATGCACCAGCACCCATGCATGCACCAGCACCCATGCATGCACCAGCACCCATGCATGCACCAGCACCCATGCATGCACCAGCACCTGCGACGGCCACCTTTTTCTCCCACCCACGTTCCCTCGGCCTTCTCTGCGCTCTTCTTAAGCTGTCGCCTCGTGTCGCTCCTCTCTAATCCCGCACCTCTCTCCTCTACCTATGGCACCCGCACCTCTCTCCTCTACCTATGGCACCCGCACCTCTCTCCTCTACCTATGGCCTCCCCACCTACACCTTGCTCCTCGCTTCCAACCGCGTTCCCCTTCCCCCCAGGTGCGCGGGTCGGAGGCGGGCAATCTGGGCGGCACGCGGGAGGCGCAGAGGGACCTGTGGGAGCACCAGTTCCCGCCGCACCGCTGCCGCGGCCGCCGCCTGCTGCTCGTGCACTGGCCCCCCCTGCCCCCCGCGCTCAACCGCACCTGGTGGGGTGTAGAGGAGGGGGCGGAAGGGGAGGGGGAGGGGGAGGGGCTGGGGGAGTGGGTGGAGGGGGCGGTGGAGGCGATGGGGGAGGCGCTGGCGGTGGCGGTGAGCAGTGGGCGCGTGCTGGTGGCCGTGGGGGGCTCGTTTGGCCCCGCCCACCACCCCGCCTGCCGAGGTGAGTCGCCCACCACCCCGCCTGCCGAGGTGAGTCGCCCACCACCCCGCCTGCCGAGGTGAGTCGCCCACCACCCCGCCTGCCGAGGTGAGTCGCCCACCACCCCGCCTGCCGAGGTGAGTCGCCCACCACCCCGCCTGCCGAGGTGAGTCGCCCACCACCCCGCCTGCCGAGGTGAGTCCCTGCCATGGGTGGCACCCATGAGGGATGGCATGCGGAGTGGCACGCGTGAGGGATGGCGAGGTGAGAAGTGGGTGCGTGGAGTGAGCCACATGGGTGCGTGGAGTGAGACACATGGGTGCGTGGAGTGAGACACATGGGTGCGTGCAAGGTGCCCGCCTGTGTCACATGCGCCTTGCACTCCCCTGCAATCTCGCCATATCTCCTCTCCCCTGCCTGCCCCCCATACCCCTCGCTCCCCCACCAGCGCACAGCGCATGGGGGTCGTGGCACTGCTACTTCCACCGCCTCGCCTCGCCCGCCTGCCAGGCCGCTGCCCACGCCGCTCTCACAGACACTCAGGAGGATGCGGAGGGCGCGGAGGGGTCAGAGGGCGGCGAGGGCGTGGCGGGGGGGTGCAGGCCGCTGGCGGAGGTGGGCAGTGCGGCGGCGTCAGAGGCGCGTGTGGTGTGCGCCACTGCCCACGTGCGGGCGAATGCAGCAGTGGTGTGCGGTGATGGCACGGGGCCGCGTGGGAAGCATCCTGCTGAAGCTGCTGCTGCGTGAGTGATGTGATGTGATGTGATGTGGTGTGGTGTGGTGTGGTGTGGTGTGGTGTGGTATGGTGTGGTGTGGTGTGGTGTGGTGTGGTGTGGTGTGGTGCGGGTGTGGTGTGACGTGGTGTGATGTGGTGTGACCCATGCGTGGCATGTGTGATGCGTGATATGATCCATGCTCGCCACTTTTCCCTGCTGAACTTAACCCTTGTCTCTCCGTCCTCCCCAACGCCTCCCCCCTTGTCTCTCTCCCTCCATCTCATCCTCATCTACCTCCCGTCCCTTTCTGTCTTTCCTATATGTGACCAGGCTGCTGGGCGGGGCGTGGCAGCAGGTGGTGGTGCGGGGGACGCGGAGGGGTGCAGAGCGGTGTACAGAGAAACAGCAGAAGGTGCCACCATGCCACCATGCCACCATGCCACCATGCCACCATGCCGCCATGCCACCATGCCACCATGCCACCATGCCACCATGCCACCATGCCACCATGCCACCATGCCACCATGCCGCCATGCCACCATGCCACCATGCCACCATGCCACCATGCCACCATGCCACCATGCCACCATGCCATGCATGGAGCCATTGCAGCACTGCTGGTGCCACGTCGTCCCGCCACCATTCCCTTGTCGTACCTCCCCTTTTGCGCCTCCCTCATCCCTCTGCTCGTCCCCTCCCCCAATCCACCCACATGCAGTGGGGGAGGGCTATCTCTCCTCTTTCCACCCACATGCAGTGGGGGAGGGCTATCTCTCCTCTTTCCACCCACATGCAGTGGGGGAGGGCTATCTCTCCTCTTTCCACCCACATGCAGTGGGGGAGGGCTATCTCTCCTCTTTCCACCCACATGCAGTGGGGGAGGGCTATCTCTCCTCTTTCCACCCACATGCAGTGGGGGAGGGCTATCTCTCCTCTTTCCACCCACATGCAGTGGGGGAGGGCTATCTCTCCTCTTTCCACCCACATGCAGTGGGGGAGGGCTATCTCTCCTCTTTCCACCCACATGCAGTGGGGGAGGGCTATCTCTCCTCTTTCCACCCACATGCAGTGGGGGAGGGCTATCTCTCCTCTTTCCACCCACATGCAGTGGGGGAGGGCTACCTTTCCTCTTTCCACTGTAGCGACCGCCTTATATCCCTCTCGTCCCTCCACCCTCCCTGCTAACCCCCCCTCGTCCCTCTCTGCAGGTGCAGTGGTGGCGGGCACAGGCGCTGCGCTTCATGCTGCGCTGGCCCTCGCCCTACCTCTGCCATCTGCTCAACCGCCACCGCCACCGCGCCTTCGGCATGCACGTGGCGCGCGGCATGGCCACGCACCACGCGGAGGGGGACGCCATCCTCTCCTCGCTGCTGCTGCCGCTTCCCCTGGCCGCCCGCCGCCCCATTGCAGCGCGGGCCCTGCAGCAGGAGGGGCGTGAGCTGGCGACGCTCAACTTCTCGACGCCGCACTCCGCAGAGGCGCAGGTGTGGCCGGGGCTGGGCTTCCAGGGGTGCGTGGCGCGCGGGCGCGGCAATGTGATGGCGACGCGGGGCAACCCCCTGGCGGACTACTTTGGGGCGGGGCGCGAGGCGTATGTGCTGCGCCCCATCGTTGCCTTGCACACCGGGCGGAGGCGAGGGGTGGATAGGCCGCCAGTGCAGCATTCGACAGAGGATGAGCAGGATGAGGAGGAAGGGGAGGATGAGGGGGGGGGGAGGAGTGGGCGGGAGGAGTGGGAGGAGCGGGGGAAGAGGGAGCAGATGGTGGTGGTGGCGGGTGTGTTCCACGCGTACAGCCTGAGGCAGCACGACCCCGACCTCCACCACGTGTGGCTCACCGCCCCTCCCTCCCAGGTGCGCTGGAGCATCGCTGCATGTGGTGCAATGAGGCACAGTGGTGTGTGGTCCAACGAGACATAGGGGTGTGTGGTGTGCAGGGCCATGTGGTGTGCAGGGCCATGTGGTGTGCAGGGCCATGTGGTGCGAGAGGGTGCAGGGCCATGTGGTGCGAGGAGCAGAGGTCCAAGTGCCCCACATGCACGCTACTCCTTCCCAGCCATCACTGCCATTGTTTCATCACACACCCTCTCCGTCTGCCCTGTCTCCGCCTCTCCCACCCCCCTGTGGGCCCCTCAGGCCACACAGACACACTTGGCAGCCTTCGACGACTGGACCTTCCTCAACTCCCGGCACGTCAGCTACGGCCAATCAGCGGCTGCCAGCATGGCAGGCATGGTGGGATCACAGCTGGCGAGTGTGCTGATCGCAGCGGAGTCAGATTATTTTGTGGGGTCACTGGCCTCACAGCACGCTCGTCTCATCCTCGCCTTGAGGGCCACCAATGGCCGGCTTGCTGCACCTGCGGTTCTGCTGAAATAAATCAGGAACGGAAGCACCTGTTTAGTTAATTCCATTATTAATATTATTGTTTTCTGTATCACAGTTACGAGTGCAACTGAGCGAGCGAGGATGCACTATGGAGGCAAGAATCACAAATAATATGAGCGAAGTTGTGAGCAAATATAATATAGCGAAACAATTAGCGCGAAGTAGTGGGGTGCTCTACGGGCCGAGCTCCGAGGGCTGGAAGGAAATGTCCAAGGCATGGCTGGACCGCGGATTACAAGCCGAGGCGTGTGACTCGGGCGCGATGGTGTGATCGGTGGTCAAGAGGAGAATGTCGTGGAATGGTAACGGGACGAAGTGATTGTGGGTGCTGTGTATAGTGTACGTGATTGTGGAATGCACGGTAGACGCGAGGTAAGGAAAGTTGATTCTTTACACTACCCCCTTCCTCAAGGAGACCCTTCGTACGAAAGGGCGTTGACGACACGGAAAATTCTTCTTCGGATGGGCGGTGAGAATAGGGTGATTCTCAACTTTGTCCAGGGATACCCATTGGTGATTTAAAGCCCAGGGTCAGCATGGTAATTTTTCAAGTTATGTGGTTTTGAAATAGTGTTAGCGAAACCTTGAAAACAAGAATTTCGGCAAAGTCAGTGTAGCGAAAAAGGGATTGACTGACGAGGGGAAAAGGGGTCTCGCCAAACGTGAAGCGATGGTAAATGATACAGTGCAGCTTTGACGAATTTGCAGAACAGCGTCGGGCGACTGGAAGGAGTGTCGCACGGTTCAGCCAATCAGGTTTACGTAGTGGAGAATGTCCACGCACGATGCAACGACTAGCATAAACGAAGACGGGAAGCTCCAACAACCTCAGAACGAGTGAGGAGAAAAAACACCACGATCAATCGACTACTTCAATCAAGCTAACTACTCCACCTACTCAGGTAGCGCAGCAGCATAAATTACGCAGGATATAGGGACTCTACAAGCGCATGCACAAAGTCACTGTGGTCGGAGAAGGTCAGTGAAGCCACCTCACCATGCCTGCCCACGCACCTCCCTGAGTGGCTCATAGAACGCGCCTCCCTTCCCTCGAGCTCCTCCAATCGTCCCCATTGTCGCGTTCCTCCGCCCATCGCGCCTCCCCTCGCCGCGCCTCCCCTCATCGTCACGCCTCCACTCGTTTCTGGAAGCCTCCCCTCGTCGCGCCTCCGCTCGCCGGCCGCGCCGCTCGCCTCGCCGCGCCTCCGCTCGCCGTTCCCCCCACCGCGGTTGCTCCCGCGCCTTGCTCTGTTTTCGCGGGGTTGGGCGCGCCCGTGGTGGTGGGGGAAATGGTGCTGGACGTGCAGGGAAGAGCGGGCGCGGAGAGGGCGCTGGAACGAGGCACCACCACGCCAGGACAGGTACACGTGCTCCGCGCCCCTGCGCCCTGCGCTCTGCCCCGTGCGCCCTGCGCTCTGCCCCCTGCGCTCTGCGCCCTGCGCTCTGCCCCCTGCGCTCTGCCCCCTGCGCTCTGCCCCCTGCGCTCTGGCCCCTGCGCTCTGCGCCCTGCGCTCTGCGCCCTGCGCTCTGCGCCCTATGCTCTGCGCCCTATGCTCTGCGCCCTATGCTCTGCGCCCTATGCTCTGCGCCCTATGCTCTGCGCCCTATGCTCTGCGCCCTATGCTCTGCGCCCTATGCTCTGCGCCCTATGCTCTGCGCCCTATGCTCTGCGCCCTATGCTCTGCGCCCTATGCTCTGCGCCCTATGCTCTGCGCCCTATGCTCTGCGCCCTATGCTCTGCGCCCTATGCTCTGCGCCCTATGCTCTGCGCCCTATGCTCTGCGCCCTATGCTCTGCGCCCTATGCTCTGCGCCCTATGCTCTGCGCCCTATGCTCTGCGCCCTATGCTCTGCGCCCTATGCTCTGCGCCCTATGCTCTGCGCCCTATGCTCTGCGCCCTATGCTCTGCGCCCTATGCTCTGCGCCCTATGCTCTGCGCCCTATGCTCTGCGCCCTATGCTCTGCGCCCTATGCTCTGCGCCCTATGCTCTGCGCCCTATGCTCTGCGCCCTATGCTCTGCGCCCTATGCTCTGCGCCCTATGCTCTGCGCCCTATGCTCTGCGCCCTATGCTCTGCGCCCTATGCTCTGCGCCCTATGCTCTGCGCCCTATGCTCTGCGCCCTATGCTCTGCGCCCTATGCTCTGCGCCCTATGCTCTGCGCCCTATGCTCTGCGCCCTATGCTCTGCGCCCTATGCTCTGCGCCCTATGCTCTGCGCCCTATGCTCTGCGCCCTATGCTCTGCGCCCTATGCTCTGCGCCCTATGCTCTGCGCCCTATGCTCTGCGCCCTATGCTCTGCGCCCTATGCTCTGCGCCCTATGCTCTGCGCCCTATGCTCTGCGCCCTATGCTCTGCGCCCTATGCTCTTTCCACCCCCTCCCCTTCATGGTTGTCCCCTTCCTCCCTTTCCCCCACCCGTTTTCTTCCTCCCGCATGAGGCAGGGGGGAGGGCAGGTGAAAGGAATTCGAGTGGGGAGTGTCGTCCACTGCTGCATGTCCCAACCTCTCATGTGTGTCCCGCCCCTCTTCCTCTCCCCCTCCTCCTTCCTTCTCTGCCTGCCGCACCCTTCCCCCGTTTCTCCTTGCAGGGGGGGGCGCACAACATAGCGGAGTGCATGGCAGCACTCTCCGCCGCGCCCTTCCTCATCTCCGCTGTTGGGGATGACGCTGCAGGCAGGTCGCACTGCTGCAGGCAGGTCGCACTGCTGCAGGCAGGTCGCAATGCTGCAGGCAGGTCGCAATGCTGCTCTGCTCTGCTCCCCATGCCACCCCCTCCTCCTCTCCTGCTCCCCTCCAGCCTGCCACTCCCGTCCCTCAAGTCCACCACCCCCTCTCTCACGGCCCTCTAGGCCCATGGCCCACCCTCTCTCCCTACCTCTGCTGGGTGTGCATGTAGGCCCATGTCCCTATCTCTCTGTTTCTTGGCCACTTCTCCAGGCATATCATTCCTGTATCCTCTTTGCTCTGTTTCTCATCTCTTCCTGACCACTTTTCCCTGTTTCCCCCACCTCCTTACCTGGTTCCCAATGTCTCCCCTCTCCCCTTTTCCCTCTCCCCTCCTACTTACGTGCTCCTCCTGCCACCTCAGCTGACATGCTTCCCCTTTTCCTTCCCCTCATTTCCCCCTCTTCTTCCCCTCGTGTCATCTTTCTATTTCCCGCTTTCCCTCTCCCCGTCATCGTATCCCAACTCTTCCCTATCCTCCCTCTTCCTACTGTATTTCTTTCTTTCCCTCTTCCCCTCTTCCTATCTCCCCTCTTCCCTATCCTCCCTCTTCCTACTGCATTTCCTTCTTTCCCTCTCCCCTCTTCCCATCTCCCCTCTTCCCTATCCTCCCTCTTCCTACTGTAATTCCTTCTTTCCCTCTCACCCTCTTCCTACCTCCTCCTTTCCCCCTCACCCCCCCTCTTCCTATCCCCTTTCCCTCTCACATCGTCCTATCTCCCCCTTTCCCTTTCACCCTGCTTCCCTCTTCCCACTCTTCCCTATCCCCCCTGTTTGACTTTTTTTTTTCTTGTTCCCCCTCCCCATCCCTCGTATTCTCTCCCTTCATATGCGACCTCCTTCTTTCCCTCATGAACCCCGCTGCTTCTTCTCGTTTCCCCCTCTGCTCTCATAGTTTCCCCACCTGCTTCCCCTCATTCCCCCCCTCCTTCCCCTCATTTCCCCCGCTGCTGCCTCTCATTTCCCCCACTGCTTCCCCTCATTTCCCTCCCTGCTTCTCCTCATTTCCCCCTGCTTCCCCTCATCCCTACTTCACCTCATTTCCCTCCCTACTTCACCTCATTTCCCTCCCTGCTTCACCTCATTTCCCTCCCTGCTTCACCTCATTTCCCTCCCTGCTTCACCTCATTTCCCTCCCTGCTTCACCTCTTCCCTATCCTCTTCTTACGGTACTTCCTTCTTTCCCTCTCATCCATGTTTCCCTCTTCCTCCTCTTCCCTATCTCCCCTGTTTGACTTTAGTCTTATTCCGCATCCCCATCCCTCGTACCGGTATTCCCTCCCTCTCCCTGGGTAGTGCAGTGACACCACTGGATTTTCTGGCACAGCAACTCGCCGAAGCCCATCATCCCATGCCACGCTCGTAGAGAAACCAGTTCCCCTCATGTTTTTTTCAAGGCCTTGAGAAGGGTACAATCTAAAGTATCAAGATCATGCCTCTTATCTACCCTTCTGACACTCTTAGTGTCCATGCATCTTGGAAGAATATCTTGCACTGCAGAAACAATAGTACATATTATGCTTCTGAGATGGATATCTCCAACAGTAATACAGTATCATGCTTGCACACAACACACAAGAAACAGGTGGTGCTACGGTGTAAAGCACCGACTAGCTCTAGTTGCGCCTCAGCTTGCTCCTCTGCTTCACCTCTGAAAATTTGGGGAGTGGAGTATGATGTTATAACGAAGAATCGTAGTGGATAGGATAAGGTTGCCAAGTGTAAAGGAGAGAACTGTGAAGTCTCTGTAATGACCTTGTTAATAATTTGAAAGAGAACAAGATGATTATAAGATAGGAGTACAAGAGTATAAATAGAAAGCCTAGCTAGCCATGTACTCTGAGGGGTACATTCCCTTATTAACTGAATTGCATTGCTACAGTAACCCGCGACTATTGCCGTTCTAGACAGTTACCATGTTGCATTTCGCAACTGCCTTGTGCGGTTACTGGGCAGTCAAGGGTCACGACCGTTGACTGTCTTCGACTGTTGACCTTCAGGTGACCCTCGAACTTCCGCGTGCTCTATACGAGCTCATGCGGTATTGGTACAAGCATCTGCTTCGCTATGAAGATGCGACAGTGGAGAGTCTTCGGGAATGCTTGTGATAACCTTTCGGTTATCCCAACACTCCCCTTCATTCCTGAAGGTGAGCCACGTGGGATTTCTTGGTGATCCCGCAAAGGTTGGCGCAGTGCTGGAACTGTTGACGTGGCAGTTTCTTTGTCAGAAAGTCGGCTGCCATGTCACCAGTCGGGCAGTACGTGAGCTTGACGAAGAAGTAGCGAAGGGCGATGTGTTTCGTGCGGTTCACGAAGCCGGGCTTGTTTGCGATCTTGATCGCACTCTGGTTGTCGCAGAGTAACGTGAAGTGCCCGTTCATCGTTACTTTCGCTTCCTGCAGGAGCTCCATCAGGTACAGTCCTTCGCGAACAGCTGCGCTGGCGGCGATGAATTCTGCTTCGGCTGACGAAAGGGCGATGAGTTCCTGCTTTTGAGAGTTCCATGAGATGAGCCCAGCAGGTTGGAGTTGAAAAATAAATCCTGTGCGGGAGCGTCTGTTGTCAACATCTCCCGCGTGGTCAGCGTCTACGTAGCCGTGCAGCTGCAGGGTGGCCGTTAAGTTAGCTTCGTAGGTGAGGCCGACGTCGGGAGTAGAGATGAAGTATTGGAGTGCGCGGCGCAGATCCTGTAGATTCTCCCCTTCAGATCGCTTCATGTACTGAGCGAGCTGGCTTGCGACGTAGGAGAGATCGGGCCGACACGTGACGGCGGCAAAGAGAAGGCACCCGAGCTGCTGCTGATAGAGCCGATGATCCTCAAGAGAGAGGGGCGAGGTGTCCGGTTCGTGGTTAGGAGGAGTGCGAAACGGGGTGGAGAGGTTTATTGGTGCGATGCCGAATTTCTTCGCGAGTGTCTCGGCGTACTTGGCGGCGGAGAGATGAATGGAGGAGGCAGACTGGGTGATGTTGAGTCCGAGGAATTGTGTGACGTCGTGGTTGACGGTGACTTCCAGCTGCTCCTTGATATCTGCTTCGAACTGGTCCAGTAGCTCCGTGTCGTCACCGGTGTAGAGGAGGTCGTCGACGTAGGCGACGAGGAGAATGAACTTGCCGCGCGACTCCTTCCTGTACATTCCGAGGTCGTGGGGTAGCTGTTGGAAGCCGAGGTTTGTTAGCACCGTGTGGAGGTACTGCTGCCACAGGCGAGGTGCTTGCTTGATCCCGTAAAGGGATTTCTGGAGCAGGCAGACGGCGCCGTCGTTCTCTTCGAAGGCATGCGGCTGCTCGACGAAGATGATTGCGTCGACCGGAGCGTATAAGAATGCGCTGCCGACGTCGATCTGACGGAGTGGGCGCTGCTTGACGGCTGCGATGCAGATGAGGATTCGTACGGAGGTGTGCCGTCCAACTGGTGCGTAGGTGAGATCAAAGTCCACCATGTGTGTTTGCTCGAAGCCGCGCACCACCCAACGCGCTTTGTATTTGTCGATGGAGCCGTCCGCCAGTGTCTTGATGCGGAACACCCATTTTCCGCTGAGAAATTTTCTCCCCTTCGCAGATGTCCGGGGAACCAGCTTCCAGGTGCCACGGTTTTTTAGCGACGCGATTTCCTTGGCCATGGCTGCCTTCCATTTCTCACTGTCGGGGCCAGAGAGAGCCTGGCGAATAGTGGTGGGTTCCTTGGGGGAGGAGTGGCGAACAGCGACGGCGAGCCCGAGGATGCGGAGACCAGTTTCGTTGGTCTTTTCGTAGTGCAGACGGTCGTAGTCGTGGAAGCTGGTTACTTCGACCACGTCGTCGTCACTGTCGTTGCCGGGGCGGATGGAGTCCTGCGAGGTGTTTGGTGGTGGTAACTCGGCATCTGGTGACTGGCGGGCGCCGCTGTTGAAGTTGTGAGCTTCGCGAGTTGTATCATCGGGGTCAGGTTGGTGTAGAGGGATGAAAGTTGGAGTTTGGAACGGGCTTGTAAGGGGGATGTTGGGTGCGCTGTCAAACTGGCTGACATTTGTTGCGTCCACATCTTCCGCCAGGTCAGCCTCATCGTGTGGAGTTGCGAAGCTGCGGTGTCCCTCGAAAACCCTTTCTGGTGCCCTGTCAGCTTCGCGGTGTTCATTGAACAGTGGCAGAGTCAGCTTCTCGTAGAAGATGCAGTCACGTGATTTCGTCACCTCGTGTGTCGCGTAGTCCAGCACGATCCACGCCTTGAATTCCTTTTCGATTCCGAGGTGGATGCCCCAGCGAGCCCGGTCAGCAAACTTTCCGGTCCTTGCTGTGTGTGGTCTGTACTGTACCACGCAGCCAAACACCCGAAGCAGACGCGTGTATGCTTTTCTGCCCGTCCACGCCTTGTAGGGGGAGTTGTTGTTCTCGAGGCTTCGGGATGACAGCAAGTTGTGCAGCCGGACTGCATGGTTCATGGTGAACGGCCAGTAACGAGTTGGGATGGCCGACTGCTTCATCAGGGCCCTCATCCCGGTGGCGAGGCTCCTATTTGTCCGTTCTGCTACTCCTTGCTGCTCGTGAGCGTAGGGCAGGGACACCAGATGTTCAATCCCCTTCTTCCGGAAGAGCTCCTTGAACTCGTCTGAGAAGAACTCCAGAGCTCCGTCCGTTTGCCAGCTCTTTAGTTTAAGTCCCGATTGTCATTCAGCTCGCTTCATCCACGCGATGAAGCATTCGAAGGCAAGTGATCTGCAGTCGGTATTGACAGCCCAAACGTGGCGAGTGCTGGCGTCGATGAAGGTCAGCGTGTAGTTTTCGCCATCGAGTCCTTCCTGCGTCAGGCACATGAAGTCGCTGTAGACTTTCTCGAGTGGTTTGTAGCGTTCGTAGCCGGGCGGTAAGTCGGGGAAAGGCTTGTGGGCGAGCGACGCGGCGGGACATACTGTGCACGGCGGGTCTTCAGAGCCTGCGGTAAGGAATCCTCCTCATGGGAGGAGCAGAGCTTCGTTGTCGAGAACACCAGCCTTCAGGGAGTTCTTGAGTGTCGTGTGAGAAGGATGCCCGAGCCGCTGATGCCAGATTTCTGGTTCCGCACGGTAGCCCACTGTTTTCTGATAATATTTCTGTCTTGCTGCTTCGTCGTTTGCCTCCCCTTCAGGTCCCGCGTCGGCGGCGTCGTCAGCGTCGGTGGCGAACGCGCGAATTGACTTTCGTTCCAGAAGCGCGTGGGGGATACCAATGATGTCGTCGGTGTCGCCGGCGTCAACTTGGTCTCCAGTAACAAGCAGGCACTGATTGGGCTAGTCGCGAACTGGGAGCCCCTTCATGGGAATTCGGAAGTAGCTATACTCGGCCCCGATGACTTCAATCTCCTGGGGACCTTGTACTGGTGGCGCCGGCTCCTCGGTAGGTGCTGGTAGTTCTGCTGCTTCTCCGAAGAATTCATATGTTTCTTCCTCCTCTGACTCTTCTTGCATGGGTTCTGGTGTGTCAGGAGCGTATTGATCGGGGAGAGGAGGTCCGCCCCAGCTGGTGCCGCGCGTTGCCCAGTAGGGATCGATTGCCGCGGTTTCCGCTGAAGGGAGTCCCGGAGCTTCGGGATAGGCAGGAGCAGCTTGACCCCAGCCTTCTTCGCTAGTTGATGTTCCCCATCCGCCTCCAGTTCCTCCGGTTCCCCAGCCACCTCCAGTTCCTCCGGTTCCCCAGCCGCCACCAGATCCCCAGTCCCCAGCGCCGGCATCTGTAGGAGCAGTGGCGGTGCCTTCGGATGCCGAGATGGTGTCCCGTCCTTCTGCCGCTACTTCCTCTGGTGTTAGAACTTCTCCCAAGGGACCGAGTGCAGGGCCAGGACTGACTGGTTCGGTTCCGACCTTCTCTTTTCCTTTGGCGGATTGTTCCGCAGATGCTGACGTCCCGCTGTCTTCTTCCATTGATGCAGGTCCGGTCTCGGCTGGGTTGGAGGTCGAGGCTGTCGGGACGGTGCGCAGTCGTAGGAGGCCGTCCGAGGCGGGTCGCTCGAGATCCATCTCTGTGGGATGCGACCAGGTTGGAGCTTCTGCAGTGGTTGTCTTCAACAGCAGGGTGCGGTGAGAGTCTCCTGAGGTGCTCTGAGCTGAGAACTGCAGCACGAAGACCCCGTCTTTGTCCACGGCTTTGCCGATGTAAGTGTTGCCGTAGAAGAGTTCGAAGGTCTTGTCCTTGCGGTTGCTTCGAATATCGACTCCGCACCGCATAAGCTGAGCCGAGGAAAGAAGGTTGTACCGCAGATCTGGAGCGACGAGCACGTCGCCGATGTGAATCGTGAAGTGTGTGTCGTCAGCTTCAAGGAAGATCTCACCGATGTTGTATGCTTTGAGTGTGCCATCGTTTGCCACTGTGATCTCGCAGGGTCGTCGCATGCGTTTGGAGTTGGTGATGAATGTTGGCAATCCCACCATGTGCTGCCCGCAGCAACTGTCCAGGTACCAGGTGTTAATGGTTTCGCGGCTCTGTCGCGCGATGTTGGCGATTTTCGGCGTGACCACGCGATCCATTTCGCCGGTGTATGGCGAGAGAGCGAAGTACCGGTTCGCTGAAATGCTGGGAGGTGATTCTGGTGTTGGCGGTGGCAGCTCGAAATCAGGTGGATGCCTCTGTTGTGAGTTGTACCAGGTAGGGGCAGTGGGGTCGTTGTCCTGCCTGGGCGCAACAGGGTTGATAGGGTCATCAAGTGCGAATGTTACTCGATCATAGTATCGAAAACCTCTGTCCCCTTGCCTTTGTCCTTGGTTGTAATGCGTGCAGGTGTCTGCGAGGTGCTTGCGACGGAGGGAGGCGAGACGGTGGTTGTTGCGGCGGAGGGTGTAGAAGGGTTTGAGGGATTGTTGCGTCTTTCGTCGGCTGCTTTTCGCTTGTAGCACCGATCGATAGTGTGACCGGGCTTCTTGCAGTATTTGCAAAAAGTCCCCTTCTTTCCGTGCTGCTCCCCTTCAGATGCTCCGACGTAGAAGACTTAACTTTTCCCGCTTTGTGTTCTTCTCGTTGTACAGGTCGATCTCCTTTTGCTCGGAGAGAAGTGTGGCGCACAGGGCTGATTCGGAGACAGTTGCTCGAGCGCGGAGCAAGGATTGGCATTGACGCCAGTCGGGACCAAGACCAGAAAGAACCATTGAGACGAACATGTCGCCAGGAACTGATCCGCCGCACTTCTTGATGTGGTCGCGCAGATTGCGGCATCGGTTGATATATGGTCCCGCTTTCTCTCCTTGATGCATTTTGACCGATGTCAGCTGGCTGAGCAGGCGACTCATAGTGACTGGATCTGTTGCCATGTATGAGTTGCGCAGGTGCTCCCAGGAGGCATATGCGGGTGCCCACTCTGATTTGTAGGAGCGAATGCCGAGCTGTTCGTCGGGGGAGAGATTTCGGAGCAGAGTGGTGTACGCGAGAAGAGATTCGTGGTAGTAATGGTTCTTCTCTTGGATGGTGCCTTCCGTTGGAAACGGTAAGCTCCCGTCGTAGTACATCCAAATTTGCGCATTTGTAGCGAGGAGCTCAAACTCGAAGCTCCAAGTGTAGAAGTCCTTTCCGTTGAAAGGAACTGATGTCTTCAGCTTTGATGTCAGAACGAATTTTGTATGTATTGCTGTAATCGTATCTGCGTGTGCGCGTTGTTGATTGTCTTGCGCAGGAGCTGAAGCTTGACAATTGTCAAACGTGAATGATCTCTCAGAGTTGACGCGACGGTCTTCTCCAGAGAGAAGAAGTCCAGCAACCCCACGTGCGAAGCTTGAGCCATCGATGCTCATGGCTTGATGGCTTTCAAGAGCATTGATGCGGGCGACCAGCTGCTCAACGAGAGCGGCGCTGACGGAGGTCACCGCAGATGGTGCAGTGGGTGTTGCTGATGGTGGGCCCGGAGATTCTGCAGTGGCTTTCCCTTCTGGAGCCATAGTGATACAAAGTCTTTGATGATGTAAAGGATAACTTATAAGGAGTTTGTTCTAGCAAGAACAAGAACTTAGCAGGCCTTATAAGTCTTTGATGATGTTATAACTAAGAATCGTAGTGGATAGGATAAGGTTGCCAAGTGTAAAGGAGAGAACTGTGAAGTCTCTGTAATGACCTTGTTAATAAATTGAAAGAGAACAAGATGATTATAAGATAGGAGTACAAGAGTATAAATAGAAAGCCTAGCTAGCCATGTACTCTGAGGGGTACATTCCCTTATTAACTGAATTGCATTGCTACAGTAACCCGCGACTATTGCCGTTCTAGACAGTTACCATGTTGCATTTCGCAACTGCCTTGTGCGGTTACTGGGCAGTCAAGGGTCACGACCGTTGACTGTCTTCGACTGTTGACCTTCAGGTGACCCTCGAACTTCCGCGTGCTCTATACGAGCTCATGCGGTACTGGTACAAGCATCTGCTTCGCTATGAAGAGATGCGACAGTGGAGAGTCTTCGGGAATGCTTGTGATAACCTTTCGGTTATCCCAACAGAGTAGGCAGAAAGAATTGTGTGACGGAACATGGGGGAGGTGGTGTGAGGTGCCAAGGGAACAACTGCAGGGAAACACAAGCAAGCGCACATGATGAAAGCATGGGGAGACAGTGATGGGTGCACATGCATGGGAACTAGAGGGCGAAAGGTGAGGGGGAAGGGGAGGGCATGACATGAAAGGGAAGGGTTGAGAAGGGATGGAGAAGGGAAGGGCAGGGCAGGGAGGGAAAGGCAGGGATATGGAGGGCAGGTGGGAACAGGGGAGAGGGTGAGGGGAAGGAGGGCTGAGGGTGGTGGGAAGGAGAGTGCGAGTGCGAGAGGACGGAGAGAGAGAGAGGAAGTGCGAGAGGACTGAGAGAGTGAGTGAGGGAGGAAGGAGAATGCGAGTGATGGGAGGCAGCAGGGAAGGGGATGGGGGGAAGCAGGGCAGGGGATGGGGGGAAGCGGGGAAGGGGATGAGGGGAAGAGGGAAGGGGATGGGGGGAAGCAGGGCAGGGGATGGGGGAAAGCAGGGAAGGGGATGGGGGGAATCAGGGAAGGGGATGTTGGGAAGCAGGGCAGGGGATGGGGGAAAGCAGGGCAGGGGATGGGGAAAAGCAGGGCAGGGGATGGGCGGAAGCAGGGAAGGGGATGGGCGGAAGCAGGGAAGGGGATGGGGGGAAGCAGGGCAGGGGATGGGGGAAAGCAGGGAAGGGGATGGGGGGAAGCAGGGCAGGGGATGGGGGAAAGCAGGGAAGGGGATGGGGGAAAGCAGGGCAGGGGATGGGGGAAAGCAGGGCAGGGGATGGGGGAAAGCAGGGCAGGGGATGGGCGGAAGCAGGGAAGGGGATGGGCGGAAGCAGGGAAGGGGATGGGGAGAAGCAGGGCAGGGGATGGGGGAAAGCAGGGAAGGGGATGGGGGGAAGCAGGGCAGGGGATGGGGGAAAGCAGGGCAGGGGATGGGGGAAAGCAGGGTAGGGGATGGGCGGAAGCAGGGAAGGGGATGGGCGGAAGCAGGGAAGGGGATGGGGGGAAGCAGGGAAGGGGATGAGGGGAAGCAGGGAAGAGGATGGGGGGAACGGGGGCAGATGCCGGGGAGAGAGCTGGGGGGAGGATGGTGGGGAGCAGAGAGGGGATCGAAACAATGTTTCTTTGTGGTGGCGGAAGCGACTACCTCTGTTCCTCCCCATCTGTCCCACCCCTTCGGAAGGAATGAGGGAGGAAGGATGGGCTGGAGATGGTGAGATGGGGAGAGGGGAAGAGCGGATGGAAACGCGGATGACGAGGGGAAGCGCGAGTGACTGGGAGGCAAGCCCGACGACGGGACGCGCGGGCAACGAGGGGAGGCGAGGGCAGCGAGGGTCGGCAAGGGTGATGAGGGGAAGCGCGAGCGACGAGAGGGAATGTGGGTGACTAAGGGAGGTGAGGGCGGCGAGGATCGGTGCGGGTCGACGAGGGTGATGAGTGAAGCGCGGGTGACGATCTGAAGCGCGGTATGTTTACTAACAGCGATTGCGACGAGGGGATGTGTGGTTAACGTGGGAAAGCGCGAGCGACTAGGGCAACATATGCGACCAGAGGGTCGGTGAGGGTGATGAGGGAAAGCGCGGGCGACGAGGAAAGCGGTCTGACGTGGGAAAGAGCGGCCGACGAGGAGGAACATGTGCGAGTAACGGCTGAGTGCGTCACGCGAACCAGTACGGCATTCGCGTGAGCGACCCGTGCCTAAAACGGTACGATCGTGACACGAGGCTGAACCGCAGCAAGTGTGACAAGAGCCTGCGTGTGCGATGCGAGCTTGAATGCAAGACGCGAGTAACGCGAATCTCGTTTACTAACGTAAGTGCCGTGGGTGAACGGGTTGTAACACGAGACCGGTGACGTTAGGGAGAGATCGGAGCGTGCACTGACTAAGATGGTTGAGGTGGACTTATATTTCTTTCCGCAAAAAAAAAAAGCCTATGAGTACTACTTGGTGAGCAAGTTATGTGAGTGGGGGACAGTGCATATGGTTGGCGATCATCGCGTCAGTTCTGGTTTTGGGCACTCGGGTTCCGTTGTCGCAGGACGATTGCCTGGGATCTCGAGAGTTTTTGGGTTGTGCAGCAACCTTAGGGTACGTTTCTATCCCGTGTCAGACCTGAGGTTTTAGTGGGAAGACATGAAGCTGCAAGACCCGAGGCTTTGTGTCCACGACAGTCAAACGGCCAGGTTCGGAAATCGGCACTCCCAACCTGCATGCACGTTTGTTTGACACATCGCAACCAATCGTGCCCAACGGAAGTTACCACCGTCACGTTCCTGCGGTTTGACCACGCGATAGATTTGTGAACACAAAATTGGGTATTCATGCCTGGTGCGAACGCCAATCACGGTATGCAATTGTGTAGTGCGGGCGACGCGGTGCCCACCAACTTTCAACCCAATTTCGCAAGCCCTGCTGAACTATCCCTCGACGGTACAAATCACATTGCATGCACAATTAAAGCCCGAGTTCAGCATGGCAAATTTTCAAGTTATGTGGGGTTGAAACAGTCTGGCGAAAATAATAATATCGTGTATTTCGAAAATGTGTGTGGGGCGAAAGCGAATTCAGGAGGCGGGTAAAACAGCCTTCGCCACGATACTATGCGACAGCTGTTTCCAAGGATATGGGAGGGCCGAACGATTGTGTGTGTGACAGAGCACTGCTCCAGCCCCACCACTGCTGCTGGCGCTTCTCTTGGGGTTGAAATGGTGGGCAACGCGAAACTCACGCGAGTGAGAGTAAGGCAGTACACTGAACACTACTTTTACAATTTCTAATTTACTAAATGTCTGGATGCTTTTGAGACTTCACTTCAGAAAAACACAACATTTCATGTGCTGAATAGGTGCAGAAAAGCATTGCAAGCAAATTGTGAATAAAAAATAATGAAATATCAAGAAACGCATTACCAATACATTTCGGGAACGCACTCTCTCAAGCTCAGATCCCTCAGCTCATAAGGATCTCGGCCGGCCACATATCGACATGCCGTGCTGGTCCCTGCACCACTCTGCACTCCCCCGGCCCACAGCAGCGCAGACCTGACGTGCGCTGCCGCCATCATTTCTGCCAGCATGGTCTGCCCCCTCCCGCATCAATGCTCCGCGGCATCCTGCTGGGCAGCAGGGGAGGCTGAAGGCAGTTTCGGGAGGAGGCTGCTCACAGCTCCGCCAGCAAGCCTCAGGGCAGATTCACTCGAAGATCTGCTGGATGCGGTGCTTCGGTGGCCTGCCACGAGGAAGAGGGGGAGCAGAGGGGAGCGGGAGTGGGGAGAGAGTGACGCTCATCACTAGTGCCAGGGGATCCAGTCATCGAAGAACTTCTGCATGCGCGTGCGTGTTGCTATGCACCGTGTAGAGAAGGGAAGGGGATGGGGGGAAGCAGGGAAGGGGATGGGGGGAAGCAGGGAGCGGGATGGGGGGAAGCAGGGAAAGGGATGGGGGGAAGCAGGGAAGGGGATGGGGGGAAGCAGGGAAGGGGATGGGGGGAAGCAGGGAAGGGGATGGGGGGAAGCAGGGAAGGGGATGGGGAGAAGCAGGGAAGGGGATGGGGAGAAGCAGGGAAGGGGATGGGGAGAAGCAGGGAAGGGGATGGAGGGAAGCAGGGAAGGGGATGGGGGGAAGCAGGGAGCGGGATGGGGGGAAGCAGGGAGCGGGATGGGGGGAAGCAGGGAGCGGGATGGGGGGAAGCAGGGAAGGGGATGGGGGGAAGCAGGGAAGGGGATGGGGGGAAGCAGGTGAGGCAAAGGAGAATATATTGGGGGGTAAACGGAGCTGGTGGAAGTGAGGGAGGCTGGTAATAAAAAAAAGGGGTGTAAACAATTAGGGGGGAGTGAGATCGACAGGGAGAGGGAGTGAGGGGAGTACCCGCTCTCACCCTCTGTCGCTCACTCTCTGGGACACCCCCCCCCCCCCCCCCCCCTGTTCCCCACCCCTCCGTCCTTCCCCTGCTGTCTCTCCACCTCTGCCCTTCACCTTCTGTCTCTCACTCTCTGCCCCTCCCCCTCTGTTCCTCCCCTCCGTCCTTCCCCTTCTGTCTCTCCCCGTCTGCCCTTCACCCTCTGTCTCTCCACCTGTGTCCTTCCCCCCGTGTCTCTCCCCCTCTGTCCTTAGCGAAAAAGGGAGGGAGAGAGGGAAGAGAGAGAGAAAGGCAAGAGAGCGAGAAAGGGAAGAGAGGGAGAGGGAGAGAGGGACAGAGGAATGAAGGTAGAGAGCAAGGTAGGGAGGGACGGAGGGAGAGAGGAAGAGAGGGGAGAAAGAGGGATGGAGGGAGGAAGCTTGGGCCAAATGAAGAGGCGGGGGCGACGAGAAGAAGCGCGCGCGGGCGACGAAGAGAAGCGCGCGCGGGCGACGAAGAGAAGCGCGCGCGGGCGACGAGAAAAAGCGCGCGCGGGCGACGAGGAAAAGCGCGCGCGGGCGACGAGCAGAAGCGCGCGAGGGCGACGGATCAGGGTGCGTGCGCGGGCGACGAGGAGAAGCGCGGGACGGTGGGAAGCGCGGGCGACGAAGGAAAGCGAGAGAGACGAGTGGGAGATATGGTGACCCGAGCAAGTGTGGGTGACGAGAAGAAGTGCGGGTGTCGCTTTTCTGCCAGTCTCACGAGGGTAACGCGCTCTCGTCATACTAAATCCCTTGAGTGTGGTAGCTCATGCCATTTACGAGCATTGCTCGTGTCGTGCGCTAGCACGGGTAGCGTCCCTGGCATGCGAAAGAGGTACGGTGAGCGCTTGGCTTGAAGTTGTGCTGCTCAGCGATTGGTCAGACAGCGTGAGTGCCTCGTGTTGCATGGAGAAAGTCGCCTTTACTTGAGCTAGCTTCTATCGCCCTGCCGCGCGTTTCCTAGTACTGTCCCTATTCTAGCAGACTAGTACTACTAGGTCTTCAAGATATGTGAGAGGTGCTCACGGCAATATTGTGGGCGATGGTCGGAGGTGTTGTGCGACTGGGCACGGAAACCAATCAGGAGTGAGGGTCGCAATAGGTTTTCCCTGAGTCGCGAGTTGTTTTTCAAACCAGAGAGGGTTACCCTGTTTTTTGCGACTTCAAATTCAAGAATCTTGAACTTGAAAAATACCATGCTGTACCCGGGCTTTAACTTTGCACTATCCTCTCCCCAGTCTAGAATCAACACTGCCGGTTTAATGGCTCCACGGAAGTATAGTCGCAAGGGCAAAGAGAAGGCGACTGATGACGATGAAGACGCCTCTCCGCCGGAGCATCCATACGTCATCTGGATGCGTGAGCAACAGGCCTTGGGCAAGGATAAGGGCCGCATTCGTCGTGAGGCTTGCAACCCCACCTCCGGGCATCCTGATACGTTCCCAGGACCTTCCAGCACGCCCGACATGGGTGCCGGCCCAAGCAGCTCGCAAATGACCGATAAGGAAGCGGATAGTAGTAGCTACAAGTCATTATCCCCCTCGGACAGCGACACCGACTTGGATGACAGCTCCTCCAACGGTAAGAGCGATACCACGGACAAACGTGGTCGCGGTAAGGGCAGCCTGAAGAGAAAGAAGAGAAAGCATAAGCGCCAGCTGTGGACCATGGATGAAATGACAGCGCTTGCTGCTGCACGATGGTATTCCAAAGAGGATGTGAAAAAAATGCAAGGGAAACAAGGCGCGCAATACTGGAAAAAACTGCGCCAGCACATGCGCAAAGCGACTCCTGGCTGGAACCGTCGCAGTGAATCCATGAAACAGTGCTGGAAGCGGCTGGAGAGTGAGTACAGGGATATATGTGAGGCGTTAGGGCGCTCGGGCAGTGGGAACCTTCCTCTACCCCCCTGGTTTCAGTTCATGGACGATCTGAAGCGCCACACAGCCGCTGTTAATCCACACGTAGAGGACCGCGGAGGGGCTGAGAACATCAACGCGGAAAGGACAACCATTCCCCGTGCGTCGACATCCAATGCTCCAACTGCAAATGCTGGTGCGTAATGTAACATTAATCAAGGTGATTACACATGGCTGTCATGTAATGCCAATGCTAACTTCTTAACAATCTGTCACTGATCACTGTGCAGGAGAAACCGAGCAAGGAGACCGTGCCGGTGTCAGCGGTCGTTTCAAAAGGACTGTGCAGCGTGGACAGCCACGTCGCAATGCCACTGTCCCCCCTGATTTGAAGGATGAGGCGACGATGGTGTGCGAGACGATGCGGGAGTGCAATGCCATCGGGGTTGCAAAAATTGATCAGCTCATCTTCGTAATTGTCCAGGCCATCGGAATACATGCTGCTACCAATGCTGCCATGGGTGCTGCACCTCCACCCTTTGCTCCTCCACAGACGAGGACTCCGCATCCAGCGAATGCACCCAGGGCTACGCACCCACATGGCAATCTTGGTCCGTTTAATGATCCTGCCAAAGAGGACGAAGAGCATCAGAACTGATGAAATCAGCTAACTTAGCCAGCATGGATAACCGTAGAACCAAGTCCCACCTTATGTAGCATGTCTCCGCTCGTAGGCCACCTGGATTGCATGCCCGAAATCAGTTCGCCTATCCTGTAGTTCTTCAGAGGTTGCATTAGGAGTAGGGCACCACTTGTAGTCCTTCATGCCTTCGCGATTCCACCAATCATTGATATCACCATTAGGGAGTAGATCTTCCGGGTCAACATGTCTCGTGCGTTTCACATCTATGGTAGTAATCATGTTATGCAAGATAACGACACATGCTATTCCCGCACATACGCGCCATATGCGACACTCGCTACGACCGGAAAACAACCTCCACCACTGTTTGAGGGCCCCAAAAGTACGCTCAATGGCCATCCGCGTTGAACTCTGCACGGTGTTGTATGTTTGCTCCCATTCTTTCATGAGACGCTTGGTGGTGGCATGAAGAGGAGTCAAACAATACTCGCGGAGTGGATACGCCGCGTCTCCAACAATCTGGAAGGGACCCGCATCCCCCCTCTCTAAACGCTCAAATAAGGCGCTTCTCTTGAATACACGGTAATCATGAGATGCACCAGGCATCCCAACATAGTAATCCCAAATCAACCCTCGCGCGTTGCAACATGCCTGAAGCACAACACTATATGTTTGTTTCCGATTGAAATACTCCGTACGGTGGTCATCCATGCCTTGGACATGAATGTGAGAGCCGTCAACTGCACCTATGACATTTGGAACTCCCTTTATATCTCTAAACTCCTCGGCCCACTCTTCCATTTCTTTCCGTGTTGGCCATCGAACCCATGCAGCCTTGAACACTTTAGGAAACTCGTCTAGGAAGATGTCGACGATCCTATGGCACAGGGTTCTGGAAATGCCAAAAAAATAAGACATGTCTAAGTAAGACATAGCTGTTGCGAAATATTTGATGGGGACCAGGCAGCAAACTGCCACGGGTATGTTATGGCGCTCTTCCACCCATCCAAACGCATCTTGCATGCCGTCCACTATTACACGAAGAACAGTCTTTGACACACGGAACAAGTCTACAAATTCACTATCTGGCATTTCGACGATGTCAGCAGCCCACCGCCTACAGGTCGCACGACGACGTTTCCTCACTGCTGCGCGGCGCGCGCTATTTGTGGTGTTGCGCTTTCTCTTTTTCGAAGGTCGACCAGCATTCCGAGTAGACTGCCTACGCTCCAACCACAGAGCACCGTGTTGTATCGCCGCGTTCTGACATTGGAGGACATATACTATGAGAAGCAGAGCTACCATTGCTAAAATCAAGGTAGGACCCATCATGGTAGGACCCTGAATGGAAGCCATAATAGCACTTGCGCGTTCTGTTTCTGGGTTTGCCTTGTAGTAATGGATGAAGAAGTTGTGTTGGGCTCGACTAGACGGGGAGAAGAAGTTGCGTGCGCGTGGGAAGTTTGTGAGGGGGTGTTGCCGAGCCGCTCCTGCAATTCTGCACGTCTGCAAATTTGCATGGGGTTGCCTACCGACTGGTGTTGCATGTACACTGGTCGCAATTTGACGCAGCCCCACTTGTAAACCCTCGCATACTTTTCGCGCAGCACTGTAGCTAAACCTAGATCGTAGACCCAACGTTTGGCCCGGAAGACCCAAAGTGGCCCAAGAAATGCTTGACTTTGTGTCTGACACGGGATAGAAACGTACCCTTATACATTTGGTTTCACTTTTTGGGGAACTGACCGTGAACAGTGATTTTCCCTGACCTTTTTGGGAAAAGAACACTGTTCAACTGTTTAAGATCCCAAAAATGTGAAACCAACTGTACCCAATAATTCCATAGTCGTCGATAAGTACGGCGAATGGAAAAATTGGTTTGACCAAATGACAACACGCCCTAAGACACATACACAAACTATCACACGCGTGAACGTATATAAAAACCACATTTGGAAATCGTGCCTGTTTCGAAGCGATTACTAAATGCATCAATGCTGCAACTGAGATTGATGTGGTGCGGAAAAGGCGAGCAAAGCTGCCCCACCGACGATGACAACCTCAATTGCATACACGGAGGCACCTAGCATTACACCCCCAAACAGACACAACACGTTACACAAACGAAAGCACACAAACATGTGCAAAAACGAGAACTGTTGTGAATGCATCGAAGCTAATGCTAGAATGCATCGATAATGCAACTGAAATTGATCTGGTATGGAAGAGGCGAGCAAAGCTGCCCCACCAACGATCACAACCCCGGTTGCATTTACGAGGCACTTAGCACCACACCCCGAAACAGACACAGACACTAACACGCGTATACACGTGCACGCACGCACACATACAGGATCACACACACATACACACACAGCACAAAAACATACAGCTAATAAGCATGCAAGCCTAATCAATTAGGTTCAGCCATGTATACATTATTGCTAGCATGTCCCCCAATCTCCTCCCTCCCTCCCTGGTCTCCTCCCCCTCTCCCCCCCCCCCCCCCCCCCCCCCTTCCCTTTTCTCTGCAAGAAACAAAGAATGCAGCTTGAACTCCCTGCACAGGAAAGAAAAAACAGCGAATGCAACTCACACTCCCTGCACCAACAAGGACAAAATCAGAGTATAATTCTTGCATGAGCTGCAAAAGACAACAAAATCAGAAAATGCAGCTCTCACAATGCATAAGAAACAAATTAATCGCTAAAGAAATTGCTGATGAAA